GCCAAATGTTCACCCATGAAAATAAACAATGACAAATAATTGAATATCCCAGCAGCAGAAGTAGCAGATGCCACAGAGCCCAGCTACCTCCATCCCAGCTGAGCCACAGGCTGCATGAGCAGGGCCCATGAGAGCCCCTCCCTGGGGACAGAGGAGTGCCAGCTTCATGAGACTAAGAGTGGGTTGGCTTCATTTACTCATTATTTATTTTTACCTTGATAAAACCACTTTTGAAACTGAACCTCAGCTATTTCCAGCCCCCAGGCAGTGGGATGGGTACCCGACATCTCCCTGACACAGTGCACAGCAGTAAAGGAGAAAACAATAGTTTAAGATGACAGCACTTAAGCACCTAACACAAATTGCATCACACACCAGAATTTGACCGTGAAGAGAAATGTGATTTGCTCAAACATGGGATGAAGAAAGAAAAGTATCACTACTCTCCTTAAGGAAACACTTGATGCACATGAACATTTCTGTCATGGTTCTGGAACTCTCTTTTTAACAGAAAATAATGTGCATGGCATACTAGCAAGGGCATGGAGGGTGGTGGTGGTGAAGGGCTGCATGGGGTTCCCAGTGTGCCACATATGGGTGACCTTTGGTCAAGACAACTGACTTTTGTAACCTTATATAGAAGAGGAAGCCCTGCAAAATGTGAAATGGCTTAAATCAACATTTCCCCAACATGGCTTCATAAAAATATTCTAGAACCTGTTCCTCAAAGCACAGATTCATCAGAATCATTGGCTTCCAGGGTACTAATGAGGAATACAAAATTTCACACTTTAGATGAGTCTTACTGAGCTATTTGAACAGAAGCACCATATTTTTCTAGGGCCTGAGTTGACTGGCATGCATATTAAAGCTTGAGAAACACTGTTCTCGGGTAAGACATCCCATAGAATCATCTTGGTTAACTTATTAAAACATAGCTTTCCTGGCTTTTTCTCTAGAGTCAGATTCAGGAGATCTGGGATGAAAAATAAAACTCAGCATACTTAACTATTACCCTGGAGGGATCAATTTCAATGACTATAGAAGTCATACAAATAGATAAAATAATTCTGTTTATATTGCTGCTATTTAAAATGGGATGAGCTGTGGCTGGGATGACCTAGGGAGGTTCCTGGTATTTCTGTAGAGACTGAGGAATGTGCTTACAGGAAGATGCTCTAGTCAACGTGTTCCCCACATGAATGGCCCACTTGCCACAGAGGTTTTACCCACTGTACTTTCTTTCTTTCTTTTTTTTTTTTTTTTGTCTTTTTCGTTTTTATTGGTACCAGGGATCGAACTCATGACTGCCTGCTTGTAAGGCAGGCGCTTATGCCGCTGAGCTAAATCCCCAGCCCCTACCCACTGTACTTTCACAACTGTTAAATTCTTAATGGATCATTGGCTAAATGCTGGAAGCATAAGGAGTCCTGATGTTGAACTAGAACAATTTAATAAGTAATATAAAAATGATGCTAATTTGACAAATTTCTCTCAAGATGATTGTCATCAGATTCATAAGCGACATCCATGTATCAAAATCTTTCTTTAGCACATTAAGATGTATCTAGTACTTCAAAAAGCAATCTTAAAAAGAATAAACAAGGCAATAATTATATCCCATTTGGATTTTCATTTATTGGGACTTGTCTTAGTTACTTTTCAGTTGTTGTTGAGACAAAATACCTAAAGCCCAAGTTGGGAAAGGAAAGGTTTATTTCTTATAGTTTTTGGAGGTTTCAGTCCATACTCAGTTGGCTCCTAGGCAGGATGGCATGGCGGGACTGCAGTTCATGGCAGCTGCAAACAGCAAGGCAGAAACCAGCAAGAGAGAGTGACACACCTTCTTCCTGCCATTACATGGTATGCTGGCTCCACCCCCATGTGGATGTAGCACTGACACCATCAATCCAAGCACTAAATAATGAACCATCATAAATGCACAATGCAAATGCATGAGGCCTGGGGGCCACAGACACAAACCATGACAGGACTAAAGATAATTCTCTTGTGCAATGTGTTATTTGCTGAGAAGTGCTTACAAAAAATAATTAAAAAAACAAAAACAGAACTTCTCTCTCTCTCATGTTAACAAAACATGAAAATTATGTCTTAAAAGACTGTTTTCTTCAAGCAAATTTAAAAAAATCCAACTAACACCTTGAAGAAAGTCCTCCTCCTCACTTTTGATGCTATTACACTAGTTAGATTTTAATTTACATTTTAATGTACACAGGTCCCCAAGTCAAATGCAATATTTAATGACAAATCATGTTGTAGCTTGCATACATAATTTGAAATAAATTAAAGAATCAACTTGTTACATGGGAAGAAATTAAAAATCTGTTATAGGCATTATTAGAGATTAGTGAATTGCATAATATAAACATTAATGATATTCTAATATTTTTCTTTAAAACCACATCTTTAGCATACACATAAGTGTGCAATACATATAAAAATTATTTTTTTTAATTTCTGGAGACATTTTCAGTATTACTACCATGAAAGTATTTTATTTCATGACTCTATCATAGTCACTCTATCATTGATCCTATCATGCCTAGAAGAGCAGACTACATAAGGTTGCCCCGAAATGGGTATTTATAAACACTTCTTATAGTCTACAGAATAATTACTAAGGCACTAAAAATTCCATTCAATTCCATTAACTACTATAAAGAATAACACAGCTGCGAGTCAAAGATGCTGGGGCTACAGAGGATTGAATACGTCATGAAGTGGCAGCTACTCTGCACCAGGATACACTAACCCTCATGAAAACTCTATTGAAGAAGGTGCCTTTTCACAGATCAAGACCTAAAACCCAGAATGATGAAACACATTGTTCAAAAACTTACAAGTAGCAGAGAGAAAATTGGAAAGCCAACAGGCTTCTGGTGCCTGCGTCCTTTACCACCAAGGTACGAAACGTGTGAAACTGGAGATAGCAGGAGTCAGTGCACAAGCTGCAGGGGTGCAAACAGAGCATCTGGAAAGATGAAGGGCAGCGCGTGTGATTCCACAGAGGGGCAATTCGGAGGTGGATGTGAGTCATTCTTTACCAGGGTTACGGTTGGCTCCTGGGAGCATCCCAGACTTGCTGCACTCATGATGTACCCTAATCCGTTTGACAAGCTCCTACTCAATGAGTTATTTGGAGGCAGGACCCGCTTGGAAGAGGTGGGTCACTGGAGGCGTGACTTTGGAGGGTATATCTCTCCCACTGGGTCTTGCTTTCTCCCATTTGCCTGGGTGCTGTGGGATGAGAGGGTTTTTTTCTGCCAAGCCCTCTGCTACATCATTTTTACCTTGGAAACAGTCCACCATGGCCTTACCTCTCTGAAACTATGAGCCAAAATAATCCTTTGCTCTTTAAAATGCTCATATTAGATACTTTGTCCCAGCGACATGAAAGTGACTAACTGTGTAATCACAAACAAAGTCTTACCCTAGGATACTTCCTGGAGAAATCTAGCAAGAAACTGGCAATTAGCAATGAAACCAGGAGGCACAACATTAGAATAGACAGGAGGCAGGCAGATCAGAGAGACGCTGTTTGTAGAAGCTCAGAGGATAGGTCATGTGGGCCTCACAGTAGATGAAACAGAGGAAGGGGTAAAGAGAGACCGAGAAGAAAGGAACCGAAGGACCTTGTGTTGAAATCCCATGTGCTGTTTTTACCTCTCCTCCATTTGGATACAGCCCAAGAGACACCTGCTTTGGCTGGAAGGTCAAATGCCCTGCTGGTCTGACTGGGTCTTGCAGGGAAGAGAAACCTAGACCTGTTATGGGAAGAGTAAATGCAAACTCTCTTTTGGCTGACCTTCTCCTTTAAAGTCATAAAATATAAGGATAAAATTAATTAACTACGTAACTGTGGAAGAAACATGTCCCTTGGCTCTCAAGAGCACAGCATACTAGGTGACCTCTTCTCCCTGGCCTGTGAGGGACCCGGCAGCACTCAGGAGCAGCCTCCCATTCCGTCGGTGGCGTGAAGGTAAAATGTGTGTTTTAAGAGGAAGATTTCATTTCCCAGGAAACATAAATGTCCCTGCAAATAGCACTTCACTTCTCTTCTTAATCCCTACTCTATCAACATCTGCTATGAAGAATTCTTGTGCTCAAATAAATCCCTCTTGTCCTATACCTTTTATGGCATCCTCCCAAGGCAGTATTTGAATAAAACAACAATAACCATCTCTGCCCTCCACCTGCCCGTTCCTTTCCTGAGGGGCTTTTACACTCCTGGGCACACAAAGGATGTTTATGGGGCATCCATGGTGGGGGTGAGGATGACAGGACTGGCTGGGATAAATACAATTTAAAGGAAGAGATGTGATATATTTATAAATAAATAATTTTTAGATTATAAAGAGACATACTGAAATATGATAAAGAAATCTTGTACTCTTGAAAAGCAATTTTCTTCCTTTCTTCTTTAGTATTTTCCAAGCATTTTGTTGTTGTTTTGTTTTGTTTTTTAAGCTCTAGTTGGGTCAAAGAAACACAGTTTCAAAGCCCATTTTCATGTTTTAAGATTCAGAGAAAAGAGATTTAACAGTGAACTATAAAAATCCCTTAATGCCTCTAATGTCTTATTTTTGCAGATTTGTTGGAAATGACAGAGCAAACAGTCACTGCTCAACTTTCCCCATTAATGCCCCCTGAACACTGTCACTGACGGGAGCAGCAGAATCCATTTGTGTGGGTTTCTTTCTCTCAGGCGGTTTCTCCCGGTATTGTTGAGACACCTGCATTTTGACAATCCTGGCAGAAATCTTTTTGCCAAAGTGATTTGCTGACTGTCCTCCCAAAGAAATTATCAAAATATGATTTACCAGAGTAAATTTCATAGAGATAGAAATGATGCTGATGATTTCTTTCTCTCCTTTAATATACATTCTACAGAAGCGAACTGCATCTCCAAAGCTGTTCTTCAGCTCTGTCCCACTGCTCCCCGCGTTCCCACGGGACAAGGTCACCTGGGACGTACTTACAGGCTATGCGCACCGAGGCCTTCCTGCTCTTGGAGGTCCCTAGGTGGCTCCACGCCACGCACTGGCACCAGTAGTCCTCCGGCCCATGGAAGTCCTCCACCTGCTGCCTGGTGACGTTGATGAACACCTCCCGGACCTTCAGGCCTGGTGGGGAAAGAGGGAAAATCAGCTGAGGCCATTGTATTTCTCAGACTGAAAGCTGAGGTTACCAAACCTTTTCTTTTTAATTAACAATTCTGTTTTTAATCAAAGCAAGGTTTTAATTACTTTAACAATAACATATGACTGATAATTAAACTGCACCAGCCGAGTAGGCTAGAGAGCACGATTGTGAAGTATTTCCCCCAAGGTGGCTCCAACACACCATGACAGTTTTCACAGTATCTCGAGTGGGTGTTTTCTCTTTGTCCTGCTTTGTGTTAAACTACGATGAGGAATGTAGTACCAAAGGTAACTGTTAGAAAATAAACAGGCCCCAACACACCCTCTGCAGACACCCTTTCAGATTGCTCTAAATGTTCTTACCCCAGGATTTGTCAGTCAGGGAGGGTCATCTGAAATGGTGTGGCTTACAAGGAAGAGAATAAAGGATGTACACAGGAAGAGGAGAAAAGGCTGAGTATCCAAGGAAAACCTGAAACATCAACCCCAAAGGCTCAGGGCAACAAAGCTAACAAGATCTGAAAAATAAAACATGGATTCTGGTGGGAGGCACAGAAGCCAAGCCTCATGTGCCCTGAATAGAAAACCCAGGAAAACTCTACAGCAATAGGATCAGGAGCCAAAGCAAGAAGGCCTTCTAGAAAGAGAGCACTAGTCAAGAACTATTAAGCTCTTTACCTGCAACTGGATATTTGTGACTCTGCATTTTCCTGGTAGAAAATGTGCTTGGTGCTTCCGTCTGGGAGTGTCAGTATCCTCTACACTTCTGGCTAAGGGCTGTCAGCCTGTTTTTGTTGGGAATAATGGTTACTTTGGAATAATGGTCACTTTTCACGTGGTTACTTTGCTTGGAGTGCCCTGATTGAAAGGGGATAGACACTCCTTCCTAGCCAAGACAATTAACTCACTGCAAATAGGGCATCGGCCATTATAATTTGCATGGCTCCTCTGCCCAGCACACTCCAGCCACTCTAGCCTAGAAAACGAGGGCAGAAAGCCTGAGTCACCTGTCCAGTCACAGTTATTAACCGACCCCACTTCTACCTGACACCAAAAGCAGCACAAGGCTCAGGTACCGCTCCATGACCCAATACTTCCTTGTATTTTAGGAACTTCATCTTAATTATGGAAATAAGTTAACACGCTATGCCTTATACCTAGATGTCCCCCAAAGTCTCCCATGGTCATAGGTGGGACCTTGAGGAAGTGGTTGGATCATGGGGTGTGACACTCAGCAGTGGATTTGTCCCCTTATGCATGTACAGCCAACTGTGAGGATGGCAGGGGGATCTGGTTGGAGGTAGGTCTTGGGGGTGTGGTCCGGGAGAGGCTGTCCCTCAGCCTACCCTCCACGTTGCTGCTTCCTCCTTGTGCTGCCATGAACCTTTTCTCTTCTGTCATGCTGCCAGCCTTGGAGCCACTGGACTATGGACTAAATCCTCTACAAACACTGAGCAAAATAAACCTCTCCTCTTTTAAGTTGTAGGTGTCAGGCATTGTGTGCTGGCAACAAGAATAAGAACCGAGATGCAGGAGCAGTTGGGTGGGAGAAACTTCCCTTCCACTCAGCCGATAACACTATTCACAGTGTGTGATCAGAAACACCATGACCATACAAATCGCCAGGTACAATCTGAGGCAAACTTTCTGAATTTGTTGGAAACATGCTATAAAGTAGAGAAACTCATCTCTCTGCCACTGTTTGCTTTCATTTCCGCTCTTTGTAGAAAAGGCTCAAGAAGTGCCTTTTCCTTGTCAGAGAGGTGTCAGGCTTGTCAGCCATCTCCTCCACTGAATAGGAAGGAAGAACCCTGAGAGACTATGGTGTTGTTGCTGCTGTTTCTGCCTCTTTTCCCTTTCTCATGTAGTCCAATAAAAGACTGCGGCATGCAGCACAATGTCAGAGCATTTGCTCAGCACAGACAAGGTCCTGGCTTTGATTGGCTGCTCTGCAAAATATCCACACACAAAAAACTAAGTAACAAGGCAAAGGCAAGGAAAAGGAGCATCAGTAAGAGGGAGAGTAGCACAGACAGGACATAAAGTATGATTCATAAATGGTGTTTTACACTAGAAAACAGACTGGAGAAAGAGAAAGTAAAATTGAAGAAGTGGCAATAAAGAAAAAGCCTGCGTAGAAGGATGGGTGTTTGCTTGATATTTTCCACTTTGGTTTGAGGCAAAGGGCAGCAGCTCTGCTCTGAAGAGGGGGAAAGAGATCCAAACCGACATGTTTGTGTGGGAGGTGGAGGAACACCATCACTAAGGCCACAGCACATCTCTCCTGCCTTGGGGAAGGGTAACCATGGAGACCAAATACACCCACGCTGTGGAAAACAGGGTCTTCCCAAAGAACCACAGGCTAGTTTGAAAAGATGGCTGAGCAAATAGGGCAAAATCCGTTTTTCCTCATTTTGTGAGTGGAGCTAAGTCACCAGTTTCTTCTGGGAAATGAGACAGCATTTCAAAATGCCTGAGTTTTCTCACTGGAACTAGAATTGTGGGGTCACCACATCCATGTAGACATACTATGATTGAACCATGGTACCAGGATGTTCTCAGGGTCCGCAGGACTTATTTTAATCCAGTACCGTCACACATAGAGAAATGGCAATGCTGGTCCTAAAGGAAGACACTTTCACTCATAAATCCCTGAAACGGGAGTCATAGTATGAACACAGGTCTTCTGAGGAAGCATCAGGGCAGTCAGGGGGTAAAAGAAATGGGGAGCGCTGGTAAAAGCCTTTTTCCCATAGTTCCTATGAAAGGGAATAGAAATGATGATGTGGGCAATCTTAGAATTGGTTGCTGGAATGATAATTGTAGTCTCTTGCTGACATTCATGGATATCACTGGGGGTCTTTTCCCTGATTGTGGTGTTAGGGTAGGGGGCCAGAGGCCTAAAATTTAAATGCTCCATAAAGGAGGTATATAGCTCTTGGGTTGGTTGATTTGCAAATGAGAGACAAGATCACAGGCAAGTTGCTTGCAGACTCTTGGAATTAGCAATCTGACAAGGCCATCACCATCGGCTCAGCAACATGGCCCCAACTAGCTAATGTGGTTACAACACATGGGCAGAGAGCTCTACACTGTGCTTTGGAAAGCAGCAGCCAACCAGAGAAGACTTCTAGGAAGACGGTAAAGTGGTAAGTCTCAGCAAATCAGCCTCTCCAAGATTCAGAATCCAGGCACTGGAAAATAACAACTTTGGGAAGAAGAGGAGGAGGGAGGGAGAAAACAGAAAGGATCTGATGGGAACATTAGAGCCTACAGAGAAACCAAAGAGGCAAACCTCAAGACGGAAAAAGGAAGGGCCATTTACTTTTTGCCCAGCTCCTGACCCAAGGCTCACAGGAAGACTAAATGTGTATATAGTGAAAGCAGAGGATTCTGTAGGTCCTCAGTGAGAAACACACCAATGGAAAACAGCAGTGGATGCACTACTATGGCTGGTGAACGATGCCAGTGCAAGTGTCTTCCATATACCCTGGAGAAGGTGTTTGGTCAGACGTCATTCTAGCGAGGGGCCAACTGAGCCTGAGACCAGAGCAGCCACAGATAGGCTTTATCTCAGGGCTCCTAGGGTTAAACTCCCACAGTGACTGTGTGAGGGCCAACCATGGGAGATGTCCTTGGCCAGGAAGCCATGGTCAGGCCAGTGACAGACATAGAGTGTTACAAGCTAAAGGACTCAGCTCCTAACCCCACAACCAGAGCATGGGTTCAACCCAAATTTCCTTGATTTTGAAAGTCTCAGACATGGCATCTCACCCTAATCCTAATCCTGGATTGCTGGTGATTGCCCAGCATGGATTTGAGTTCAGACTACTTATGCCTACCAGCAAGAGCAGAATCAAGCCTTGAGTTGGATACAGCTACAGAACTATAGACCTCAGAAGATAATCCGGGCTCAAATCACAGAGAAATTTCTTTTTTTCCTTTACTTTTGGGTTTTTATTGTTGTTGTTGTTAATTTGGCTGTGTATTCTTTTTTTAAGGTTATTTTGTTATATTCTGTTTTTTTTTTTTTTCTTTTTCTTATTTTCTTCCTCCTGTCGTCTTCTCCAGTTTCCTAGGGCTTTTGGTAATCTTCCTTTGACCTTTGGCCTTCCTTCTAATCTTTTTCTTCTTTTGTATCTCTATGTTTCTTCTTCTTCCTTTTAACTTCTATCCCCTTACATATTTTTACTCTGTTTATAATTTCTTTTATTCTTTTTTTATCTTTTATTTCTTAACAGCTTTTTGTCCTCCCTTTACATAATTCCATAGACATCTTTCTGTTGCTGGTAAGATCCTTTGTAGCATTTCTCTTTCCTCCTCCTATTACAGATCATAATGTTTCAGAGTTTACTTGTGGCATCATCACATTCCCAAACACTAAATCTTCAACAGTGTAACCACAAAGTTTTTTTTAGTTTTTTGAAAACTAACACTGTAAAATTACTTTTGAATTGTTTTCTGTCTTTAGCAGAGATATTGCCATTATATTTAATATGTATTAGCTGTAAATGAATACCTGGGTTGCCCTAATATTTACATCATGACATTCTTTTATCGAGGAATAAGGGTGTTATGAAACTTTTTTCTGGTGTGTTAATGTCTAATTTGTCTCAGGCAATACCACCCATAACATTAAGGTGGCTGACCATAAAAGTCACATTCCACCCTATACAAATTGTAATATTCTTCTGGACTAGGTTATTTTCCCTCTAATGTCTTTGTTCCTCTAATATGAGGTCTTTCATCTTACCAAACCATTCCCTCTAGTAGAACTCTTGGAAAATCAGGACTAATTTATAAGTATTATGTTTTGCACCTCCATAACGGAATAACTATTTTATTAAGATAGCATTCTAGGAAAATAGTACATTCTTTCTCAAATGCTCACTTCTGTAATATTTACATATACACAGGTGCATATATCTGTGTATGTACACATCTGCACACACATATCCACACAAGAAATATCCAAGAGAAGT